CTCAGGGGCTAAGCACTCGCTTTAAATTTCATAGTACGCGAGCAACCCGTATGAAGTTCAATGCCCGCCGGCACCAATGAAATTTTTAATAGTAATTTTAAGTGCTAATTTACCACGTGCTTGGTAGCGAGGGAAAAATTGGTGACGAATGTAAGATGAGAAATAAGAAAAAAAAATAATTCGAACACATATGAAGTTCGCCAACACGTATTGGGGCAGCGCGGCGGATATGTACTTGGCCTAAAACCCTCTCAGAAATGAAGGTAGGTCTGCGACCAGCAGTGGGTCGTACTTAGATTATTGATAGGTCTTCGAAGACCCATCAATCATCTAAGGGGTCGTGTATAGCCTGTAACTTTTAATTTTTTAACTTTCTATACAATACTATACTATAAAGATGACATAATAAATAAGTATCAACGGTTACCTCACTTCGCATGCAATACGTAATTACGTTTAATAATTTAGAACTAAAATTTAAATCATTCTTCTATCAAAGTTTACATATGTTAAATAATACATAACAATATTTCATTCTTTTAACATTCGTCGTTTCTGTTACTAGTCGATTTACGACAAGCCGATTCAACATTGAGAGGGTGACTAACGATGCACTTCCGCAGTGAAGCTGAAACAAGGTATTGATTGAAACAATCCTCTCTTGTTCCTTGGCTACTGTGTTAGCGGGAAGTTGGATCAAATTTATGATATTACAGCGACGACATACTGAATAACTGATCAAGTTTATATGTTCATTGAAAGAAGCTGATAAATAAGTCATATAAGCCATATAAACAGGTATTATTTATGATTTTGCTTTTACTCATTTACTCCAGCAGCTCAATTCATATATTTTTGTAACTTTTGTTTAATCAGATATTAAATTAAAATTCTTATCAAAATCATAATAATTTTACTTTTATTTTCCCCCAGAAGAAGAGTAATCTTATTTGAGTATATGTATGAATGTATGTATGCCTCTTTCTATGAAACACTCTTTAGCCTAAACGGCTCGATAAATTTTTACAGATGGCTTGTCGTTAGATTCGTCTTACTAGTGGAAGGGACATAGTGTGTAAATTTCTTCTTCAGTAAACTTTTTTACGCAGTCGGTATTTTTAATTACTTTCAACCATTGGGCCTAGTTCACCTAATTTAAATTTTAGTTTGCGAACACAGCAATCTACTGCAACTAACTGTGGTGACGACGTTGATGGTGAAAATTTTGTTTAAAGAATGAGAGTGACAAACGAGCACACAATCCACCTGATGGTAAGCGGTTGCTGTGGCCCATAGACATCTACATCTATCTTCGTTTGCGAAATAAAATGCAGATGCGTTGTCAGACGTGAAGACTAAGATAGAATGCCTCTTTTCCAGTAAAAAGGGTCTACGGTTCTCTACACTCACCATACGAAACACAGTGGCATTAAGCTGCTATTTTACGTTGGTATTCTGTGAGAGCGTGGTCCTTCCCCGGTCGAGCCGACCCATTCGTTCTACAAGTATACTAGATATTAATATAGCTGCAGCGTGGCTCTCTACCATGTTGCAAAACTATCACAAAATACCAAATTCGGCAAAACTTAAATATGCTAGGACTTTTTTTAAGTTCTTAAGAAGGAATCATGCACCCGATTTCGCCGGGCGCAAGTATCCTTCGACCCCGGTGGTGCGAGGTACTCGTAAATAAAATAATAATAATAAAGTACTCCAGACCAATTGCGGCCACAGCGGCCAGTCTCAACGTGTATATATTGCCCGAGTAAATGCGCAAGCTCAAGTGTACTCTCGTCTACCTCAATCTCACAGCCCAATGGGATGGTAATCTGACAGGAAAAAGATCGGGCGCAGGACCAACGGCTTTATATGCTTTTCGAGGCACAGGAGTGAATGAAACACTGCCAAATTCCTGACTCCGGTTTTTCTGTTAAAAATTTCTTGACAGAAAATCTCAATAACAGAATTTGGCCCGTCGCGGGATTCAAATCTGGGACCTCATTTTTTTATAGGATAAGAGTAACAAACGAGCACACGTCCACCTGATGGTAAGTGTTTGCTGTGGCCCACACCTCTTTATTCGAATACGAATCAAAATGCAGATGCGTTGTCACACATGAGGACTAAGTTGGAATAGCCCGTTTCAAGTAAAAATGTTCTCCGGTTCTCTACACTCACCACAAGAAACACAGCACTTCTAGGCAGAAAAGGAGGCTACCACCTACTAACTACAACCCATTTATTTATTTAAAAAATTATGTATGTTTTGGACTTGGGCGTTTCAGGTTGTAAGAAGTAATGAGGGCACGACTTTTTCTGCCATCAGCGCGGCGCCACTTAAAAATGAGATGTTCTTAAAAATGTGGTGTTATATTTGACCGATGTCATAGCGGGGAAGTTAATTTGTTCGAAAAATGTAAATATTAATTTTTCTTTCTATACTATTAATTATATTCTATATTAATAATTATTAGGTTGAATATAAATAAACCAAACCACAGATTCTTATAGAAGAGGGGGCAAACGAGCACGCGGCTCAACTGATGGTAAGTGACTACCGCCGCCCATGAACAACTGCAACGCCATGAAAATTGCAGCAGCGTTACCGGCCGTTTAGAAAGAAGTAAGCTCTTTTCTTAAAGGTTCCTAAGTCGTATCGGTCGGGAAAAAGCGCCCGTGGATCGTAGATAGATGATTACAGTACTGGGTGCTTCACATCTTTGATGCTGCTACGTACCTATATATATTCATTGATATATTTTATGAACATACATATATAACATATATCAGTCCAATAAATAAAACACTTTCAGAAATGAGAGGAAACATGTGCCCAGCTGTATCCAGTGTGTACATGTATCAGCTTTAAATTTACTTCACGTTTATAATAATTATAGGTCTTCGTTCTTCGATGTTTTGATTTCACGATTAGGAAGAGAATGTGAAATCCGGAGTACTCTACTACATGCAAATTTCATTAAAAATATATAAGGTGATATAGAATATTTATAAGGCGGGTGCCTCAAAAGCTCAACCGGTGTGCTATCTGCTTCAAATTTAGTAACCATGTAGCGTTACCATTCCATGTGAATGTTTGCCACATCGGTGAGGCTATGTGGAAAGTAACGATGATGTAGGTTCTCATGTGAGAGTGTTCACGTAAAATCTCACTTTGTGATCCAATTTACAATATGTGCTGAACCTCTTCGTACGTAATTCTTCTATTATCTCCGATTAAACTTTTCTCTGGTAATAGGTATGTTTCCTTCAGTAATAGTCGTCAAAGGTCCACCACTTTTTTCCTTATCCTTCAAAGATAGACGACCGTGTTGAAATTTATCATCACCTTTCTAAAGAAATCGTGTTCCGCTGATGAACACAGTTGCTTTAGGTGATATTTGAAATTGTAAAAAATCAACATGCAAAAATGTTCCTGACACAGAGAACAGATCCTGCGTAGATCCATTTCTAGAAGGAAACACGATGCTTCAATTTAGCTCGTAAAATCATCATCATCATCATCATTACAGCCCTTCACAAGTCCACTGCTGAACATAGGCCTCCCCCAAAGAGTGCCACAAAGCACGGTCCTGAGCCACCTGCATCCATCGACTTCCTGCATGTCTTACCAGGTCGTCACTCCATCTCGTGGGGGGACGCCCTACACTTCGCCTACCGGTACGAGGCTGCCACTCGAGAACCTTTCTTCCCCATCGGTTGTCGATTCATCGAGCTATATGGCCGGCCCATTGCCACTTCAGCTTACTAATCCGTTGGGTTATGTCGGTCACTCTAGTTCTACTGCGGATATCCTCATTTCTGAGTTTATCACGCAGAGAAACTCCGAGCATAGCCCTCTCCATAGCTCGCTGAGCGACCTTGAGCTTCCTCATCCGGCCAGCAGTGAAGGACCACGTCTCAATTCCGTATGTCATCACTGGCAACACGCACTGGGTGTACAGTTTCGTTTTCAAGTTTTGAGGTATACCTGACGAGAAGATGTGCCGTAATTTCCCGAACGCTGCCCAACCGAGTTGAATCCGTCGATTGACCTCTCGGTCGAAGTTGGACTTACCTAGTCGGACTATTTGTCCCAGGTAAACATACTCGTCAACAACTTCGAGCTTAGTGTTCCCAACAACTACCGGCATAGGTGTGACATGGACATTAAACATGATCTTTGTTTTGTCCATGTTCATCTTAAGACCTATCCGTTGGGAAACACTATTGAGGTCATTGAGCATAGTGCTTAGGTCCTCCAGCGATTCTGCCATAAGGACTATATCGTCGGCAAATCGAAGGTGAGTGATGTACTCGCCATTGATGTTGATACCGTATCCTTTCCAGTCCAGAAGCTTGAAAACATCTTCCAATGCAGCGGTAAAGAGTTTCGGGGATATGATATATCGTAAAATGTGGAGTTAAATTTAAAAATTGCACTTATCTCTAATAATTGTATTAAACTGGCCAGTGTCTCGTATAAAAAACCTCATATAATTTTTGTTTTGATTCCATTACCGACGGGCGTGATACATCAGTACGTAAAATTGCAATTAATAATTTCATAATTGCTAGTGAGGATCGAGCTAGTGTTGCCCGTTGCTCGCGTACCTTGAAATTTATTCCAGCACTTATCCGCTGTTTAAGCACGTATATAACTACTTCGTTTGTAAAATCATATATCGAATTTCTGTCACAGGGACAAATAGTCTATCATTTTGTGAGGGCAAATGTCTCGCAGCCTGGAATTATTTCATTTTGTTACTTCAATTAATATATTATATGCTTAAAAGCACTTAAATATGCTTTCCAAAAGTAAAACTATTAAATCTACTTTAACCCTTAACTTGATAACGTATCTAATAATGCACATATTCTAAAAAAAAAAATTGGGAACTATTTAAGCAGATTTAGACTAAAATTATATTCTACTTAGTTTATGGAATCCTTCTATTCTGCAGTAAAAATATTATTTATTACGTCTGGCAACATTTGAAGTTAGTAGATTGCAAAATGGTAGAGCATGCGCGTGTGTCTACGAGTTATAAGGTAAGAATCGATTAAAATCCTATCAAAATGTAGTTGTTACGATAGATATATGTGATAATTATGTAATTGAATGTATATTGTTTTAGTTATGCAAAATATTTTGATCGAACAATAATATTTTCTATCTCAAAGATTACTGTCAATGTTAATGTATCTAAAAATGCACATCGCCAAGATCCTGTATTATGACCTGAATTTTGGAGTGTGCATTGTAGGACACATTGCCAAGCTTACAACATTAGAGTGTTTATTTCACTGTGTGCATTTTTAGATACATTGCCAAGTACGAAACATTATTGTAATCGTATTTATTTATCAGTACATAATGGTTTGTTTACTTTTTAGGCCGGTACGAGGGCTCAAAGAATATTGGCACTGGAACCAAAACCAGGAGCAAGTTCGGATATTGAGAGCAGTGACTCATCGGATGGTGAAATAACTGGACACGCTTCTGACAACGATGAGAGCTCGATACCACCTTCTTTGCCATCATCACTCGAAAATCTGCACGTATTGTCGGAAAGTGAAAACGACTACAGGGAGGTATTAGTCCCAGCCGAAAATACGACGAATGTTACGAGACGCGTGAGTTTGTTTAGTAATTTGTCTACGTCCAGTGTTTCTGCTTCTCCAACCAATGTAATAGTCCCAGCGACACCTTCACCGATTTCTTCAATGGCCAATAGCTCTACATATATATTATCCGTACCATCACCATCAAATGCTACTCGATCCAGCAAAAGAGTTTACTTAGTCAAAAAGACTATAGTTAAGAAAAAAAGCTTGAAGTTAAGTGGACAACTGCAAGATTTAAATACTCTGCTGAAATCAGTGATAAAATATTCAACAAATCTTCTGAAACAAAATCACCGTTGGAATATTTCAAACAATTTTTTTCAGAGGATATATTTGAATTGATAGTTCGAGAAAGTAATTTATATCATATGCAAATAAAGGGCACGCCCATGAATATGACTTTGGATGAAGCAAAGGATTTTATTGCTATTAATATTATCATGGGTGTCGTACGTTTGCCAGCTTATACGGATTATTGGTCTAAAGCTCTCAGATACAGCAAAATAGCAGATATCATGACACTGAAAAGATTTCAACTGTTCCGACGATATTTGCACTTTGCAGATGCTTTAGGTGACGATGGGGATCGTTATTACAAAATAAGACCTTTGTTAGAAAAAATTCGCCAAAATTGCATAAATATTGAAGAGGAACACCGTTTCAGTGTGGACGAAATGATGGTGCCGTATAAAGGTACGAGAGCTGGTACCCGCAAGCAGTACATCAAAAATAAGCCTCGAAAATGGGGTTTTAAAATATTCGTTAGAGCAGGAATATCTGGAATGGTGTATGATTTTTTGCTTTATGGGGGAGAAGACACTTTCCGATTTCATCAATTCAATGCAGAAGAAAACAGCATGGGATTGGGAGCTAAAGTTGTCATAGCTTTGAGCAAGACAATCAAAGAGCCTGCTTGTAAAGTGATTTATTTTGATAATTTTTTTACCTCCATAGAATTAGTATATCACCTGAGAAATGAGTACGGGATATTTTCCTTGGGAACAGTGAGACCAAATCGTTTGCGCGGAGGAGACAAAAAGCTTCCTTCTGATAATATTTTGAAAAAACGAGGCCGCGGAGCTTTTTCACAAATTACTTCTAATGAAAGAAAAGTAGCTGTGGTCAAATGGTTTGATAATAAATGTTTTACTATAGCTAGTTCTTATGCTGATGCTCATCCAGTTGACCATGTATTGAGGTACAATAAAGATAAAAAGCGCAAAGAACCAGTGCCCTGTCCAAACATAGTTCGGCAATACAATGCCCATATGGGAGGTGTGGACCTGGCGGACATGCTGATTGCACTTTATCGCACTGAAATGAGAGCGCATAGATGGTACATACCTCTTTTCTCACAAATGCTTGACATCTGTATCAACAACGCTTGGCTCATGTATCGACGAGAAACTAAATGTCCAAAACCCATAAAGCTCAAAGAATTCAGATGCGCGATAGCTGACAGCCTCACTACTGTGGACCGAGTTGTTCATAGTAAGAACACAGAGGCAAAAAAATTTGTGACTCCTGAAAACCAGATGGACATGCGTTACGATCAAATGGGTCACATGCCATCATTTACATCCAAAGGGCGATGTAAGCTTTGTGTTAAGGATCAAACTAAATTTTTCTGTAATAAATGCCAAGTGAGGCTTTGTTTAGTTGAAGATCGTAATTGTTTTTATTATTACCACCAGAAATAATGTAATTATCCAAAATAGTAATTTGGTAATACTTATGACCAACTTACAGTTGTAGTCACTTACATTTTTTATTTTCATGTGTCTTTTTATATTTAAATTTATTGATTGATCTCATAGATTATAATACTGCATTGTGTTATAATGTTGTGATATTATTACGCTTTATTATTTTTATTTTGTAATTAACTACAGGTATTTGATGTGATATCTGTGTGACAGTGGTGGTCAAAAAGTCAATTATAATAAAGAAGTTGAAGCTATGTTCCTACTTTGAGTTGAAGACTGTGATTTTAAATATTTTTATATAGATATTATATGATTAAAACAGCAAATATAAAAAATATTCTATAAAACTAAAATATTTTTATTTACTAACCACCCAGCAATGTATCCCATAGTGCACATAGATTTTCAAAGGTGAATGTCTGGCTACTTGGTCGTGTACATTATTAGATACATGGTATAAAAACAAAACTAAATATAGGAGATTTTTTTATTTATTTTTTAGTTGTCTATTTAGCACCTATCAACCCAAATATATGACAGAAATATAAAAATAATGACATCATGAAGTTTGCCAATTTAAGGGTTAAAATTGATTTATGTAATTACTAAAATTGATGATCATTAATGCGCATAACTAGAAGCAGCCTTATCAAACATGCATCGGTCGACCGCAAAAGGTGTCTCATTATCCCTTGTCAGGGACAGATAATATATGATCCGATTGAATATAATATAATGAATACGTGTTTCATGTGCCAAGAAACAGCAATTTTCATTTTTAAAATCATATAAACGCAAAGGGTTTTTTCTATTCAAAGCATATACAATAGAAGTAAATCCTAACAGACAGTCGATGTTGATGGTGCATCAAGGTGTCAAAACAAATGACACAATTTTGGATTAATATTATCATCGTAAGAGAATTCATTACCCATATGGCGTGTCCTGCAACCCGTGAGTGATGCCTCTGCGCATGCGACATGTAATTACTTTTACTTTAAGTATTATTTGAAGGACAACGTTCCTCTTTTAGTACTATTAACAGATAAGCACATTTAAAAAAAAAACGTGCAACTTAAGTCTTCTGCGCTCAACTTAGCACTACACATAAAAACATTTTGTGGTTGTGTTAATTTAAAAACTACGTTATGAGTAATTTCATGTATGCGTAATAATAGAAATACCAGCAGTAATTAGAATTGGAATTTATTTATTTCAAATTATTATTAATTATGAAGATACATACATCCTAAAGAAAAGAACAACAAGCCACCTTTTTACATCACGATTATCGGATAAAACTGTGAGATTATATCCACTGAACTTCCAAATAACATTATGTTGAAGGTTAAATCTAAGTTTTTCTAGTAGTTTGTACATTATATTATATATCTAGAATGTTTGACCTAGTGCCCAGCTTCTGTAATAGATAGTGGTTGCTGAACATGAGGTCCCGGGTTGGACTAAAATCAGTTATTGGGATCTTCTGTCAAGAAATTCTCAGTAGCAGCCTGGAGTCAGAAAGTAGGAAAGTGAGTGAAGCCGTTGGTCTTGCGCCTTCTCTCTCTCTGGTAACCGTCCCATCGGACTATAAGAGTGAAGGAATAGCGAATGTACTCGTGCTTCCGAGTAGGTACACACAGAAATTCACACATTTACACCGTCTGGGAAGGTACTGTCCTCTTATCTATTTCTGTCACCCAAAAATAGTGATTTTAGTACTGTGATCCGGATTGAGTAGTATAGAGAGCAAAAATAATTAAATTTTGAGGCATGTCATCTTAGACATAAGAGGTAACAACGTAGCAGCAGTCTTAATTGTTTAAAGGGCGCTGCGGATGTCCACGGACTGCAGTAGCCACTTACCATCAGTTGGGCTGTAAGTTCGTTTGTCACTTCAGTTTAAAAAAAGACAGACTGACAACTTTTTTCAATAATTGCTAGTAATGTCCTCAATACCGAATTCCCACCAGTCTCAATGGAGACTATCCATCTGCACAGGACAGGATTATAGAGCCCGAGTGTACGCGTAAGTAAATGTGCACTCTCTATTCCCACTCTCTCATAGTCTGATGGGGCGGCAAACTGATATGACATGAGAGACATCTGGCATAGGACTAACGGCTTCAAGCGGTTCCCGGAGCACGGGTGTGAAACCCCGCCAACTTATTGACTCGGAGCTGCTGCTGAGAATTTCTTGACAATAAAACCCAATAACTGATTTTGGTCCAGAACTCGAACCCTGACCCTCATGATCAGCAATCGCTTTTACGACCACTCGGTCAACGAGGCAATCGATATTATATCATATGAGGTGTTTGACGTCACAATCTCAATTAGTAAAATTAGTTTCACTTAATGTGTAGTATTCACGTAAATATAAGAAATCATTTAATATTCATCGTGCAGAAACCGCCTTCTAAGAGGTTTATATAATGTAGATGTCCGCAAAACTTCATTTACATAAAAAGTGTAAACTGTCCCTGGACCAACGCAAATAGATGACCAGGTATACGTGTACGAAATAGATAAGGAAAAAACGGTAGGGCCGCGACGTTTTGTAAGGATTTATTGACACATATATCTGAACATAAGTACGTCAATAAATGCTTATTGCTCCATTATTTAACAAACGGCGTTTTTATAACGAGTATTTTTATCAAACACATATTATTTAGTATTATATATAAAAGTCTAAGAAATCTGTTTTTATTGAAGTTCAGTTTAACACAAGGAGTAACTAAGCAAATCCATGTTGCAGAAGTGAACAGCAAACTCGGGAAGGGACGTTCTAGATGAAAGTTTACCGACCAAATTTGCGATATTTTGAAGATGGGGCCAGATTCAAAGTATACTTAACTGACGTTAACTGACGATATATGGATGTTAAGGATGCGAAAGAGGTGTGTCAGCATCGTACCAAATGGAAGTCCGTGTCTCTGCCTACCCATCTGAGTGACAGGCCTGAGATTTTATGTCTAATTTATGTATGTATTCATTTTTACACGCACAAATAAATTATCATTGGCATATTTTTTTATAACGCTAAAATCACAATCAAACTTACTATCCATCTGGTGATAAATGGCTGTAGTTTATGTACACCTGCAACCAATTTCATACAAAGGAGGATAAAGATGCGTTCTCACCTCTGAGGACTAATATGAAATGCCTCGCATTTTGTAATAATACTGATTCTCTGTGCCCCTTCGATCAGAACACAACATTGCAAATACCGCTATATTTTGGCAAAATAGGTAAGAGGGTGGAATCTACCCAGAGGGAGCCCTAGGTAGAAAAAAAGTCCTACCACCTAGGCCTCCCCCATAGAGTGCCTCATTGGGAGGATAATTGCTATAGTTGCCATGCTTGGCAAGCGGGTTAGCAACCGCAATTTTTTTATTTTTAGTCGTTATTAGGAAAACGCTTCTGCACATTTCCTGATTTGTTTCCCTCTGTCGCCTCTTACGACACCCACTGGATAATGTAGGGTAGTAGATATTCTTACACCGGCGCTACACGGTGTCCTCCTAGTCCCAGTGAATATCTCGGCTTATTTCCCAGGGATGCCTGATCTCGGAATACCGATGACCGTTTGCTGCAGAAATAGATAAGTATGTCCCAGACGAACTCCTAGACAAAAACGGATTCCTACCACCTAGTACCACTTTTTACTGCTAGAAGCCAATGCTTGATTGCTATTCCACGTGATGATAAGTAACGATGCAGCTGAAGATGGTGAAGCTGTCACATAACATCACTTAGGTAATACAGTGCAAATTATTGCGGAGGGTAGAACATTGACTTTTCTGCAGCACTATTATCATAACTCGATATGTATTTTTGTTTACTTCACTATAATATGGATTTGTATTAGCTCTTTACTTAAATATGTATCGTCATTGTGAGGTAGTAATATCAACATTTGTGATTTATAACATGTTGATAAATAAATTAATAAAATAAAATAACAATAGCCTATTATTCTTTCATCTATTTCCCATATGTGAAAACATCTTCATCATCGATAGATATATCCATCCTTGAAGACACCCACATTATAATTTTTATAATTGTTAAACTATTTTTATATTTAGATTTACCAACTATAAATATTATTAAACCAAGGGATTTACTCAGAGACCTTCTTAAAGAAATAAACATCTTAACAATTGCATGAAAATATTGTTTGTGTAATGGACTATTTTAATACATTTGACAAAATGACTGAAGCCCAACATTACGGCCTATAAAAGGCCACTGTTGAACATAGAATGCCTGCTCCCTAAGATTGTCTCGTAGAGGGGATTTTGCCATAGTAGCACGATTGGCAGGCGGATTGGCAACCGCATTTTTTATAATTTAGAGTAGGGCAGAAAGATTAATCTGACGGATGCTGCAGCCCATCTCTTGTTTTCGTTTCCCTCTGTTACCTCTAATGACACCTACGAAATGATATGTGTATGTGAACATTCTTACACGGCAACTACACGGAGAACATAGTCCACCGATGGAAAATGGCTGTGATGTTCATAGACACTTAAATTTATTCTTAATTAAGAATCAAAATGCAGATGCGTTATCACTCCTGAGGACCAGAATGCCTCGTTATCAGTGAATAGTGGTTCGGAATCTCGACGATCCTTTTATTCAAAATCTGTTTAACTTAACCAGCATTTAAGTTTAAATTAGAAAATCTTCAAAGTATTCAAATCTGGTTCAGTTAAAATGTGAAAGAACGACCCTTGGAAATACCTAATGAATCAAACGGACAAACGGTAGATAAAGTTTATTTATATACTTGTAACTCAGTTGCTCAAAAAAAACTTAACTTATTGAATTTTCGGAACATCAAAATAAATAAAATAAGAATAGTAAAAGATTTCGTAATTGGTTTACAGTTAACGTCTTTTGCAATGGTATTTTAGTTAAATCGAATTTAACGTTATTTTAAAAGTATTATTAGATCAAGCTTTGTAAGGAAAATCGCATTTTAACAGCATCGTCTAGCTGGTATTCTGTGAGAGCGTGTTTCTTCCCGGTCGAGCCGAGTCATTCGTGATACAACCATATTAATATAGCTGCAGCGTGGCTCTACCAAGTATAAAGAAATCTTAATATAATCTTTTATATGATCCTTTTAGTATATTTAGATAAATGTTGACAAACGAGCTTACTCGGACGGACTGTATCTACCTCATATTAAGTGGATAATGTGGCCCTTGTATTTTCTACATCTATCCTCGGTATGGGAATCAAAACTCAAACGAGTTGTCACACCTCAGAACGTTGATGGAACGCCTCATTTCCAGTATGTGTTTATTTTGTTTACAATTTCTACT